CTTTCAATGTCTCATTTATGAAATTCACCCTGCTGGTTTTGAATGAGTACACTGCAAACAATGCATGAATGACTATAGGAAGGTACATTTGGTGTTTGCACTCATTCGACACTGCATAGTAAACTTTGGAGCACAGAGAAAATGAGTAGACTTTTACTAACACAAAAATATCATCTACACAATATGTTGGTTCCATTGGTGACCAATCTGTCACTTGTGTTACGTTTTTGTCTAGAAATATGCAAATATCAAATGTATTTCAGGATTAAAAAAAATATATAACAAACCCCACCTGTAATAAGCCTGACATACAGTATGTTCCTTATGTGCAATTTTTATCTAAAGATCTGAAATGTGGGAGGTAATTGCTTCACACACATTTTTACGATTTGGCTTTTCAAAGGAAATTTGAGACTGCAAGACAGCAAATTTGTACTAGAATTCTCACCAAATTTAAATCTGATTTTGCTCCCACTGAGACCAATGGCAAGATGCCTTTCAAAGACGATAGGAATAAGCCCAATGTCTGGTAAAAAGGATTCCAGAATATAATTTGCTGTATAAAATAAGCTTTTATCAAAACAGTTTTTCTAAATGTTTTTCAACAAAAATGCACGTAATCCCATAAATATATTCCAGTATGAAAAAAGTAAGTTAAGGTGTCTGGGTCAAAACTGCAGAGCCAAGATATTGAAAATACTGGTTGGCACTCCCCTATTTAGAACTACTTCTACATATGCTATATAATAAACTCTTCTACTGTGTTGTGATTTACTATAGTTAAACAGGGGAAGTTAAAGTCACATTCCTTCATTTTTTTTAATCCTAAAATCCCTTGTTTGAATTTCTAAGTAGACTGTTCATGTTATCTTAGGCAATTTTTGTGCTATTGTACATCATCATGTTGCTTAACACACATTTCAAAACAAATACAATATTTTGCTACGGAAAAAAAAGCTACATTTTTGTAGCTACAATATCCCCAATATTCAAAGTTACGGCGTTCAACACCTTTCCGAACCAGGCCATTCCCACTGAAAGGACTAAGTCCAGTACTTCAACATGCTCCACTTTCACAGATGCTCAAGGTCCTCTGGCTCCTTGCTGACTTCAGTGGAGTTCTGCAAGTAGTTTGGGTACAGGTATGCGAGCAGGTTACTGCCTCGTAAGCCAAGGGATAAACTCAATTTCTGTGGCTGCTCTGTGTCCAGTTAGTTCTCTCTTATCCCACATTCAGCATGAGGCACAATGAGGTACGAGCACACAACCTCTTAACAGGAAGCAGCCTGTGCCCACCGTCTCGCTTCCATTAACAGTAGCTTTCCTGTCCATTGCCCAAGCTGCTATCAGGACTTTCACTCCAATTTTGACCTAAGTCTATAAAAAGCTGACTGCACTTGCATCCCTTAACACCTTTTAATCTTAAAAACTCTTTGGGCCGAGATTTCAGAAGCCTAGACTTTAAACAGACCCTCATTTTTGCAGACATATGTAATAAATGGCTTTCTAATAAATCTAGTTTCCAAATTTTGCTTCTGTTAGTTGCCCATACTGGTGACTGATTGCTAAAAGGATCTCTCGGCAAACAAAAAGGGACCTGCAGGTATAAACGGTATCCATTCTGCACCCACTCCCAATGTTGGGTTGTAATCACTGGGTTGCTGGTGCTTAGATTCTTTTTAAGTATACATACTAGTTGTGCAAATTTGTAACGAAGGTATGATTAAGGTGGAAATACTTTATAATTGTGAAATAAGCTTAAAAATATGTAGTAAATAACAAGCTGATCTTTAAAGGATATTACAATAATTCGTAAAACTACCAAATTAAATCCATAGGGTTCTATTTTGTAAAATACTTCCAAATACCGCCTGAAGTATTTTCAATAGTGATAATAAAGCCTCTCCATATTACTCAAGAGTTTTCATTTTTTAACTATACTGAATAGTACATGTATTTTTCAATTTTTTTAAAGATACTGAGCTTTTCATGTTTCATTAGGTGTTTTGAACTGCCGATTAAACTTAACCAATACCAATCCATATTTCTAGGTCCCATTGTTTCAAAAGTTGATCCTTCATTTTACATAATCAGAAATCTTCTGAAAAAGATGCCAGATCCCCTTGTGATATGTTATTTCACAGTTTAAAAACAAAATCACAGCTACTGTAGCTTACAGCAGGGTGCACTGCAAAAGCAAAATAATTTGGGGATGGGAGGAGGAGTGGTGTACCCAGCACCAGTTAAGCAGTTCAGCAAAAACTTTAATTTGGGATGGAAGTTTTTCCCCTTAACAATGTTATATGTGGTTCCTGAACAGCCTAAAGTAGGATGTTAAATACATTGACTTTTGTTCTCCCTCTATATATAGTAAATTTTCAACTTCATTGTTTGAATACTGACATACACATTTTTAAAGTCAAATACAGTACTTAAGGGGGAAGCAGGCAGTAGGCTTTTTCACGATACAAATTCTTTGTTAGAGATTCTGACCTACTTCTGTTTGTGGTGCCACCTGAGTTATTTTGATGGTTAACGTGTTAAGATGTTTTTCGCAGATGACTACATCAGGGACTCTTTGTGATCAACAAGAGCCCTTTTCTTGACAGGTATTTGGTTTTATCCACATTAAGTTTGCAGAAGTCTTTTAAAAGCCCCACCTTGAAAAATCTCTTGAACTTAGAAAGGTGGATAAGTTCTTTAATTCATTTCCACAGATGAAAGGTTTCTTTCAAAACCCCATCTGTTTTTTACTTAAGAAAATGGAAAAACTTCTAATGTATTAAAAATGTAAACATAACTTTTCTTGCAGGGGTATAACTGATATATATATATATATATGTATTTCTCTGCTATATGTTAATATTCCTTGAAAACTGAACATACTATTCTCATTCATATCAATGTGTCCTAGCAAGTTTTATTTTAATGGTACTGTAGCATTACTCCTAAGCTGGTTTTCATTCTGGTATTTTCTGAGATAGCTGACATTAGTACTTCCTATTGCATTTTATTTAATTCATTTTATGTAAATTTTTGTTACTTTTTAAAATATGTTCAACTCATTCACCAGTAATAATCCCACTGAAATGTGTTATCACCTAAACTCCAAATTTTCAGGAGTTAAGACATGCTCATGTTTTTATGAATGAGTTAGATTTTAAAAATTTAAAGTATCTGTGCATGAAATCACCAGTTCCACACATTTCAATAGTAATAAAAGTAATGCCAATTTAAATGCTAAAATCCAGTTACAGAGTTGGTTGAGAAGCAGCTGAAGTGCTTCAAAATCACATAAGGTGTGTAGGTGTATGTGTGTATGTCCTGTAGTCTTTTTTTCTATAGTGTTTACATCCTATTGAAGTTTATATAATGATACTTCAGTTCAAAACATTTGGCACCGTCTCATCCATTTTCTTGCATCTTTCTCAGTATCTGTTGAAAGAAAAGAAACAACATTATGCAGCTGACCAAGCAGATGCAAAAAGAGTATCTGCTAAATACCCTTCTGTCATCTTGAAGGCGCAGGTCAACAAAGAATAACAAAAATTTTGTTTCCTCACCCTGCATGAACATATTTACTTGATAACATTTACAGAGGTAAGATAGGAAGACTAAAAGTTAAAGGTGCGAAACATAGACCTCCTTTCCACGTGAATGTGAGCAGAAACAATGTTCCTAGAGGTACCGATTAGTCAGTCCTTTTACAGAGAAATGCTTTAAGAGCTCTTGCCACAGGTCCACCAAAAATAATCGCTCATGACCTGCAGGACACCTGTTCTTTGTCCTCCGTTTCCTGCAAGTCTGACCACTACACGGCGAGAGTAAGTAGAGGATTTTGCTGAAGCCATTTAACTTGTCCCATTTATGACCACAGTGTGATTATAAATACAGATCTCCACACTGGTGTGAAAAAATGTTTCTCATTTTAGCCTTATTTAACTACTGCTTTCCTAATACAAAGTAAGGAACAGTATTTTAAACGCTAATTAAGCAATAGTCACATTAATTCAGTGTGTTCGTTTCACTGATGCTGTTATAGCGGACTATACTAGTCATTTATTTTACTTTTCATTTACTGCTCTGGAATTTATTTTACATGAAATTTTATACAATGTTAATACGCACTCCTTGTGCAATCCAAATGAAACCACTGTTTTGTATGAGCAACTAATATATTATCCCGAGAACTGCTTACGTCTGTGTTACAGAAGACTGATTGCTTTTTGTGTGTGTGTTTCACAGATACTAAGCTACAGTAGATCTACCATGAGAACATTAATTAAATGAATTTGCCTTCTGGAGGCGGGAAAAAAAAAAGGCTTAATTGTGGCATTGTTTAAACTTTTAAAGAATTAAACCGTAAATGGAGTGTGTCTGGAAGAACTTTTTCAGGGAGGATGGCTGCTGTGTCTGCAGCAGCAGCAAAGTAACATATATGCGTGGGATTTTGCAGAACGTCCTAAGAGCTCTGTAACTGCTCAACAGTTCTGTCTGGATGCTATAAGTGGGTATTGAATAAGCACAGGAAGGTTTTATTGCAAATACAAAGAAGGTGTGAGCCAGAGGAAGTTACCTAGCAGCCCAGACAGTAGCAGCAATTTTGAAAGTGTTATATATCCTGATGGCACGATTGCAAGAGCAAAATTCTCACTTACCATTATTTTTCAAGGTTAAATAATTTTAAAAAATCAGTGCTAGCCTTAGAGGAATAGTTTAATTACCGGAGGTCAGGATTTGAAAGCTATGCAGTTATCAACAGCAAAGCAACTGCTCCCATCATTCCTGCCACAAAAGACCTTTGAAAAGTACCATCTGAATTTTGAATTCACACACTAGATCATGAAAATCAAGAAACAACTTACTGAAGAAACTGGCATCACTAGAACTAACGGTGGGAGTTATTTATAAAGCTTAGAGATTTACTTATATTTGAAAAAATCTGTTTGCCAACTTTAGTACTATGAATATAAAACAGTTGCAAAGACAAAGGAATGTACTTACGGTGAAATTGTACAGCCAGAGGCATATGCATGGTGGCCCGTATAGCGTATATCGCAGCGTACTATATTGTTGGAGTAATCAGATTCAGGCACCAAATAGCTGGGGTTTACACTCACCTTAAGGGGAGAAAGCACAGTGTTGTCTACTTCCAGGTTTGAGTTGAAAATTTACATTGAAATGGACATACGTATATAATTTGCTCCTTTAAAAAACAACAAAAAAAATCCCAAACTTCCCCACTCCCAATACCCTTACCTTCAGAATGTAATTTCCAGGTTTTACATCTGTAATATCAATCCATTGGCAATCTATATCAGCATTGTAAGTGTCGTAGCAGCCAGGGCTCAGTCCCTTAGAAATGAAGTTAAGATGGATGTAAAAAAAAATCATTAGGAATAGTAACATTCTAGACATTAGGGACACTGAGATTGAAGTTCACTTAACCATCACATTTCGTTACGAAAATTACCTCAGGAAATTAGGTTTATTTTTTCTTGGCATTTTATTTGCATATCTAAAGTAGAACAAGTAAGTCTAACATAACCACTTTTATAGACAACACTGTATTACTACTGCATAAGAAACACTATTGATAGTTGTTCGTCTGTGAGCTATCCAATTTATCTGTATTTTATTATCACTTGTTACAGTACTCCTTTTATATAAATATTGTTGATGCTTTTACTCACTGTTCTTTACCAAAGGTGAGAATAAAATCAAAACTGACCAAAGACTGGACCTAAATATCTGTAAATTTCAAGTAAATAGCTTCTGCGTCCTTAAGTACAAACTTGATCACTATGTTGGAACCTGTCTCTACCCTTAGGAATGATGCAACTTTTTGCTATAGATGTACTCTGCCAAAGTGCCATCTTCGAATGGTAAAGTCTCGGGCCATTTTCACATTGAGTTTTGCTTGGAAATAGTCCCTCTTCAAGGCAAATAATGACACAAGAATCCAAGAGAACTGAAAATGTAGCCTTTCTTCCAAATGAATCTTTTCTGAGAACTTCTTTGCTGTTAGGATCATCAGTAAGAATCTCCATATACGAATGTATCGGTGGTTCAAATCTAGTGTCTTTAACCATGGCCAATACAGATTGCTCTAGTCAAAGCTAATCTGTTCTAGCAGCACACAGAGTGCACAAAACTCAAGTCCTGCAGGAATTCCCTCTTGATCCAGCTGGTGATCAGCTCAGACTCTCGCATGTATGTGGCAAGTCTGAGGCTGGAGCAAAGTCTTACAGTCCCATTACAAACCCCTGAAATATGGGCTTCCAGTGGAAACACTGACACAGCCATGACTAGTGACACAAATACTCCAGCTGTAAAATATGTATGTTGCTTAGTTAGATGTCATAGTCTACAGAAGGAGAAAATATATTTATAAAACCTCTTCAAAGCCCTTATGTATTGCAGATCATTCATTATATTTAAAATTCAAAAGTGGACACGTCAGCCAGTGAAACATAGCTGTCATTTCTCTGTGATAAAATAACTACCTCCTAGATTACAAACTGCAGAACAGGGGATACAAGTTTATGTGTAAGTATGGCCACACTGAGTTAAACCACAGATCCTTCAAGTTTAGTGTCACGTCTCTGACAGTGGTCAGCAGCAGATGCTTAAGTAGAAAAGAACATAAGGAATGGGATGTGTCAGGTCCTTTACCAGGCAAATTCCTTCCATGAGGCATTTAACGGTATTTAAGTCATGGAGTACCATCAGATTTTTGTGTTTAATAGCCTCCATTACTTTGTCTAAATTTTTTTTGAACCCATGTAGATAATTTTGATTTCTGTAAGATCCTATGGCAAGGAATTTAATACTTTATTCATGTGTTAAAAGAGCACTCCTCTCTGTATTAAAGCTGTTATCTCACAGTTCTTTTGGATATCCTTAAATTCTTGTACTATGAAAAACAGTGAATATCAGCAATTTCCTCTTTCCATCCAGGACCACTCAAGATTTGGTATTATTTCTGGTTTTCTAAATGGAATAGTCTATGAAATATCTTAGTGTGGAAGCCATACTACACTGCTGATCATCCTTGTTCTGCTGGGGTTGGTTGGTTTGGGTTTTTAAGCTTTTCTGTAGCAGTTTCAAGAGGTGCCGACCAGAACCCCAAGCAATATTCAAGGTAGGAGTCTATCATGGATTTGTATAATATCATAATGGTACATTCCATTTTTTTATCTAGTCCCTTAATAAGCCCTAACACCTTGCTTTACATTTGCATACAACCCATCATAATGTTCACATGCCTGCCATTCTCTTTAACAGCCTTCTATACATGCATAAAACTATGGTCTGTTTTCTGTGTTGGACTGCCAGCCACCAGCTATAGATATTAAGGGAATTCAGCACCTTGCAGCCTCATGCTCTGCAAGGGAGAAAATACTAGCTATGAACTCTCGGACCAGCCAAGGACATCGCCGAGCAGTTTGTGGAGCACAAACACTGGAAACAACTTCTTTACTGACTCTGTCTTGAGTTCCCTATAGGGACCAGTCCTATAACCACAAGAACTTGTGGTGTGTTTTAATATAGTTCAGTTACCAGTGATGATAGGCTAATGAGTGTCCTTGCATTTTAATGACATACTCACATTTAGCAGCACCTGGGTAAAATATAAGTATCCAAGTTGCTATCCTGGCCTCTGTGATGGAGAATTTCAGAGCTAGTTATGGCATCAGATAATTTAGGGCATCAGATGATTGGTAGAAAAAATATCCAAGGATAAATGAGAGGGGGGAAAAGAAATTTGGTTGTCTCTGAACCAACTCTTACCTGCGTATGTGCTGTACATGCATACCGTCTATAATACCCATAATCACAGGAGGTATCTTCAAGACAGAAACTTGCTTTGTGTCCTTCAGCAACTTTTCTGTGTGAGCTTGCATCCAACAAGTCATAGTGGCTGAATTCATCCATGCTGTGATAATGTCTGTTAAACCATAGATAGATTATTAAAGATGGATCAGATCTTGTCAATAATGTTTTGACATATTCCTATTTGATCTACCTTCTGTTAAATCTGGCCAAATTTTATTTATTACACAGAACTTGTGTGTTAGTGTACTTTCCTATTACTGGTCATTCAATTAAGTTTTATTTTCATTATTCTAATTTTCAGTGACTATAAAAATGCCATCTTCTAGAAATAAATAACAGATTTTAGTTTGTTAAGTGAAAGACTCCATAGCAGCACTGTTTTTCAAAAGTTCCTATTTCAGCTCTTTTCTGATAACAATAGCAGGTATTAAGTGGTTCATATGTGAATTGTACATCTTGTAGCTGCCTTTAGCCAGACTTTTGCTAGGAATGCTTACCTTACATACTATAAATTCCAAGGAAGTTTGCTACTTGCTAGCAAAAACCCAACAGTTTTCTTTCACATTTCCATGGCCCTTAATCAATGTAACACATTTATAACATTAGTGAAAACAAAATCTGCATAAAGAAATCAGCTTCTGTGTGCTGCAATGTCAACAATTTTTGAGGTCTATACCTAATATAGTCTCTGTTTCAAAAGTGTGTATGCTTTTCATCTGGTCACAGTGATTCATTTTTCCTTCTTTCCCACAAACTGAATTCTAGCTCTTTCTGTGGACTTGAACACCTATTATTCCTGTAATTTCACTTTTTCCAAACACATGGAGAAATGTCAACAGTTTTTGAGGTCTATACCTAATGTATCTCTGTTTCAAAAGTGTGTATGCTTTTCATCTGGTCACAGTGATTCATTTTTCCTTCTTTCCCACAAACTGAATTCTAGCTCTTTCTGTGGACTTGAACACCTATTATTCCTGTAATTTCACTTTTTCCAAACACATGGAGAACTAAACTTGTGCTATCTACCTGCACTTTGTCTGTGCAGCATTTGGCTGCTGTTACTTATGAATGCTTTCAGCTCAAGAGGTATATGAGAAAGATATCATTAAACAGAATTCAAATGTATTGTTAAAACAAAGAGGAGCACACAAGTCTCACAGGCATGCATGTCAAGAACACTGAAACTAGTCCACAGATGATGATGACTAACACTGAAGTCTGATGGCTAGCCTAACTAATTGGCAGTTATAGTTCATTTCCAAATAAGCTTGTTTCACTGTCATGGAAATGATCACAAGAAATGCATTTTTTTTTTGGTAGGCAATGTTATTTTCTGTCCAAGAACTGAATCAACAACAGAGACACTTTGCATCTGGATAGCGATAGCTGGGCTATCATAGCAGACTAAGAAACTGCTTTTCTACAAATGGAAGATTTCAATTGCTCTCTATCCATTTCATCCATTTATCTACTTTGTAAGCACCAAGTCTAGGTTTTTCTGTTGTTGTTGTTAGTGGTTTTTTCCATGGGTGGGGGTTGACTAAAGCTTTTTTTTATTCGGTTTGATTTAGTTGTAGCTTTTTGATCCTGACAAGATTTATAAACTAGTAATATCAGTCTTTTTTTGAAAGAATTTGTTCTAATGATACTGATTTTTCATTCACAGGTTAAGGCCTCTGAAGCTAGAGAGGAATATTCCCTTGACTCCAGGGGCCGTTAGATCAAGCCCACGTTACATAATAGAATAATATTTAGGTGGGTTTTTTTATAGAATAATATTTTTAATAGAATTGTTTTTATAGAATAATATTAAGTTATCGTTTATGTACCTGTAACAGCAGAATTGTATTTTAAGTAAGGTGGGAGTAAGGTAAGCTTTCTAGTATTTTACAATTGGCCCGGCTATGAAATAGCGAAAATTGGAACAAACCTGCAGACCGTTGCATGTGAATTTTCTGAAAAGGTACAAGTTTGCATTGTTATCTGCTCCCAAAATGTTGAAAATGTTCTACTGGAAACATGGCATAGCAAATGTAGTAATTTTGCTATTTCTAGAGCAATACTGCTGTGTGGAAGTATCATGATATGATAAGGATATTGATAATGGCATCAGTCAACCCATTATCTTTTCCATATTGACCAGACTATTCCTTGTCACGAGTTAACCCATGAAATTCATATCAAGAAGTATGGGTCAATGTTTACAATGATGTATTATAGGGAAAATATATAGTAAATGTACATTTTAGGGTTTCCACAATTATTTTAACATGATTGGGACTTTTATTTACTGGTTCCACTGAAATGTAACTGGACCATGACCTATGTAAAATACACTTGAAGGGACAAGGTGCCCCTGTCAAAACTTGTATTTATAATTAATTTATACTTGTAAGAGTTTTTTACTTATAGATAAGCTTAATATCCATTTTGGTTTCATGTGGCTATATAAAGAGTAATTACCACTAACATAAAATTACTCAGACAGTAAAAGGCTAAAGTTTCCCCATGGCTTCCCACTGGTTCACTGCGGTTTTAGAAAATGTCACCTTATAAGTCACAATTTGTTAGCGAAAAAGATAATTAGAAGGTACCATACTGAGCATTTCACTTACTGGTGACAGCTGTGCCACTCCCATGAATAACGGGGTCTGCTGGGCAGAAAATCTGACGTGCCTTGATTTTTCACTCTTTGGGGGAATCTCAGGAGCACCCGATTGTCATAGTCTCTAACATCGGCTCGATAAGCTGAACTGTAATAATGCAAAAAAGAGCTGTAAGTATATGCAAGAAACACTTTAAAAAACACTTTATATTGTCTCAGAAGTAACTGATAGCACAGATCTTTTCAGCCCCCTTAAAGCTCATGCATTGGAGACGCACAAGAATTCCACATGGTGTGCTCAGAAGTCCCTGGTGTCAGACCAAGACTTGAATAAGCTTCAGATCTGCTCCTAATAATATAAAGAGGAGTTTGACCACTGCCTCACTTAGCTGTAAAATTACTTTGGTACCAAAAATACAATTTCATTCATTGCTGTTAAGCAGAATAACTCACTGTGTATGCAAGATCAGAGAACACGTTTGTTTGTGTTGTAAAAACATGAATAAATATATGCCTCAGGCTATATTTTCCTATTTCACATAGCTATTATCTACTGTCTTTTAAATACTGGAATATTTTAATCAATTGATAGCCAGCAAGAACATTTCAATTAGTCCTCACTGTAAACTGAGCATAAAAAATACTGCTTCTTACACCATGTTTTCTTTTTCCAGCAAGTGAAGAAAGAGCATGACCCTGGCAACAGTGTGACATCAATTAATGATGCTGGTAAATAAATAAATCTGGTTTGCATGATAAGATAGCAAACAAGTTAAAATGGTTAAAAACAGCCATGTTGATTTCTTTCCAATCAAAACAGGAAAAATGCCTCTTTGCCAACTGGACAGGACCTAGCTTCATAGCAAAGCTGTTATTTCAACCCGTTAAAAGACTCTGAAACACTTTTCAGGGAGATTTTAGTCTTAAGAGACTTTACAAGGCATAGGCCCAGAAACAATTAACATGTTATAGATTTAATAGTAACTTGTGCAGGTTAAGAACAGGGTTTTTTTTAAAATGGAGTAGAATGTGATCTGGTTGGATTAGAGGAGGGAGATGAAAATCATCAGATTCAAGTGGGTTCCTGAGGTGCCTCCATTTTGCAAAATTCAGATATGTTGAAATGAGCCTGGTAATAGAAGTGTGCAATATAAATTTCACAAAATGTAGGTTCTTCAAATCATCTGTAGCTTGTCTCTCTTACTAATATGGCAGTATCATTTTCTCACGTGCACACCCTACCATCTGCCGCAGGCTTAGAAGACGGTTACAATTTGGGCTATGTTTCCTCAGGCCCTCCAACCTCACTTCTCTCCACTCTTCACTGTGTCCTCCACTCTACGGTGGGCGCAGGAGCACAAGAACCCACAGTGGACAGGTAAAAGCCAGGGTGACGCCTACCTTGCCAGGCAGTTCTCCTCGGCAGCACATCTCAAGTTATACATGGACATCCTCTGGACGTATGTGGACGCCTGGATGTAATAGGGATCCGGGACTAAGTCAGGGAGACCTGCAGTTCATCAAACCAACCACATAATAGCAAGATCAACCCAGGACACGTCTGCAAATTCTTGGCTTTCAGCCAAACGGTTAGAAGCCGTCGTTTCGCTACGGACCTCTGCCCCTCATTAAGCTCGCTCTCGCTTTTGCTCAGGCCCTTCGGCTTTTCTCAAAGACCTCATCACAAGCACGGCGCCCGGACTCCCGCGTTGGGCTTCCC